GTTATGGACAGCTCTAGCATCTTGCGCTTGTAGTGGTACACTCCCCACTTCGGGATATAATGTAGATATCCTCAGTCTTGGTTTAACTGGAGCTCAAATGATAATAAAAAATGGGAGGCAACAATAGTGCTCTCAATAAAATAAAACCAGGTGTAAAAAGATATATACAATATACTTACACAGCATAGAGCAGGCTGACTGCTTGGCGCAGGTGGTATTAACCCCTTAAGACCACAGGGCATTCTATGCCGTCCTTAAGGATATCGTCAGGGAAAGTGACATTTTTTGCATTTTTCCACGCACAAATGGCACTTACACGGACTATATAATTGTTGTGATACGTTTTACTGTTTTAAAACACTAATATTTGTGTTCAGTAAAGTCTCCAGAGTATAACAGTACCCCTCATATACAGGTTTTATTGTGTTTTCAAAAGTTACAGAGTCAAATATAAGGCTTGCGTTTCAGTTTTTCCACATTTAAGTTCTCCAGGTTGGTTATGTTGCCTTTGAGACTGTATGGTAGCCCAGGAATGAAAATTACCCCCATGATGGCATACCATTTGCTATAGTAGACAACCCAAGGTATTGCAAATGGGGTATGTTCAGTCTTTTTTAGTAGCCACTTAGTCACAAACACTGGCCAAAATTGGTGTTCAAATTAGTTTTTTTGCATTTTCAAATATTAACACTAACTTTGGCCAGTGTTTGTGACCAAGTGACTACTAAAAAAGACTGGACATACCCCATTTGCAATACCTTGGGTTGTCTACTTTTGCAAATGGTATGCCATCATGGGGGTAATACTCATTCCTGGGCTACCATACGGTCTTAAAGGCAACGTAACCAATCTGGCGAATTTCAATGTGAAAAAAATGAAAAATGTAACGCTATATTTGACCCTGTAACTTCCCAAAACACCATAGAACCTGTACATAGGGGGTACTGTTATACACGTGAGACATCGCTGAATACAAATATGTGTATTTTATTGCAGTAAAAGCAAACAGTATTTTGACATTCACAGTTAAAATGTCAAGTAGAACTGAGAAAATATTTTAAAAAAATCTTATTTTCTCCCATTTTTTAAAAAATTTTTTTCATATTAAATTATGTTTCATAGCTAAATATTTGATGTTAAACGAAAGCCCTGTTTCCCTTGAATAAAATGATATATAATAAGGGTGGGTGCATTTAATATGAAAGAGGTGAATTACGGTTGGACAGACATGTAGCGCAAATGCCAGGTTTTGTTTACGTTTTGTTTTGATCACAATCTGTACATTTGGCTGCGGTCTTAAGGGGTTAATTTTGTGGCTGATCAGTTTATAGACATCCTGGCTATGGTTATTTGTGCATCCTCCAAAGTGTGGATCAATCAAGAGAACACATTTTTGGAGGGGTTGCAGGCAAAAGTATTCTGTATATATACAAAAAGGTGTGGAATAAGTGGCGCTATATAATTCGTGATATAAATTGGTGAGTATTAGCTGCTATTTACACTCTGTGGGTACTCCTCAGAATCCACCATACATAAACACCATAAAACACAGAAAAAAACTTAAGGCCTTGTCGGTGTTTCTACCTATCGGGTCCTCAGTTTTTTAAAAGAGTGTAGCGCTATATTATAATGTGAGGTGAATAAAGCGTTTTTATAACCCAAAAACACTTACCCTCTACAATGATCTCGAGATAGTATATACATAAAAAGAAAAACAAGAATATACAGATAATAGTGCAATATGTTATAATTTATAGTAAAGCTGTATGTAAGTGACAGATGTGTCTAAACTCACATTTTTCTGAGCCTTTTTTAGTTTTTAGGCTCTAAACTTCCAAGCGTCTTGTGTCTTTTAAGGTAGATCACACGACCCCTCTCTCCAGGTGAAGGTGTGTTCCTCTCCACAGCACGTATAAAAAACACAGATGTGTCGTACTAAGTGTAGTATCTCCAATAATGGTGATATTTATAAAATATAGAATTTAAAAGTGCTCACCTTTTTTAGAGCCTTTTATATAACTGGCTCTAAGTGTAACGGCTTGGTGTCAATTTAAAAGTATTCTGTACCTAGAGGCCCTGAGATGTGAGTCAGGCCCTGATGTCAATGGGTACAATATAAACACCTTCCAAATCTAGCGATAATCACCCGCAATGTTAGGCAATGTGGTGGAATACCTACCACGTCCCAACACTGAGACAACTCTGCACGACAATAACGAGTTCAAGACTTTGCTCCTTCGGCAGGCTTAAGCAAGGGCAAAGTTTTATGGCTGAAACAGATCCAACGCTTTAATTGTAGCAATAAAACAACAAGTCTTGGCTACTTCAAAGCACTAACATTTTTATGTGTGATGTATATGCCATTTTACTGTGAGAAGCCAGACATTGAGGGGGTTTATTCAATAAAACAGATATCGTATGGCAGAGTAGTAAATAAATCCCATGACTGCTAATGACAGCACAATTAGCATTCGAACATTTCAGTTAAATAAAATTTATAAAATCTGGTTTGCATAGGTGGATCTATCTATTACCAAACAGCTCCTGCGATAAAATAAAATTCTGACTTCAATAAAAAAAGAATTCCTTTTGTTAATGATATTTACCCACCATAACATATTCTGCATTTTATGGACAGAACTATAACAAAGCAATGATTTCTCTGTAACAATATTTGCTCCGCATTATATCTCTCACATATACAGACTATCAAGATTTCTGTTATCATCACTGGTTATCAGTGGAGAACGAGGAGAATTGTGGGTAAATTGAAGCAGGTTGGCATTGAACCCGCAGTCTCGCGTTTTATTAGCTCTGCACAGACAATAACCGAATTAGAATGATCTGTTCAATGAATTATTGACATGTTCACCAAGGCAACGTAGACCTGAAGAACACACAGTCATGTCCTCGCCTCTTGACTTCATCGATCATCAGCAGGAATGTCACTGTCTGCGCTACTCAAAAACAGAAATTGGAACTTCACGTCAGCCAGTGATTCTATGTTTGTCACATGCAGGTTTATCCCTACATGTCAGCATTTGGCAGGCTGAGCTTTAAAGGATTGTAGTTCAAAAACACCTGGGGCGCCAAGTCATGACCAATAGAAACAAGGATGCTAGCGGACACCCATCGAAGGCATTAGGCTTGGTTTAAAGAGTATAAAATAAATACAAAGTGGATCTTTCTTTTTTTTTTAATTTCCAAAATATTGTATCCAAATTCTGACTTTGCGCTTTTACGAATTTTTTATTTTTATTTTTTTTATCTTCAAATATGCCGTGTTTTTAAAGTAGCTTTATGAAAATGTAGGGACTATTTTACTTAGAGACCCTCTTTCTTAAGACCGTTTAAGGTTCCCCTTGAAAATTAACTAGCTTCCGGTGTTTACATTATTCATTTTTTTTCCTCAAATCGTAGGCCAAAGTAGAGGAAAGTTAAAAATTCCCAGAGTCAGCCATGTTAACAGTATGGCTAGTTGTTCTAAAAATGAAATTCACTTTCAGCTCCTGAAAACGTGTACGTTAAAGAATAGCCTTACATAGGTGTTACATAACTATTCGTTTTCCAAATTTACGAATGAAGGTCGTCAAATTAAAACGTGGTATTGCAACAATCATATTACATCTACTTTACACAACAGTGACTTGAAAATGAAAGTATCCGAATTACTAGAATTCCATTAGAAACAAATAATTATTAATGATAGAAACTTCTGTGCATAACCTCACTTTTTCCTAACGCAAGCTCGGAATGCCAAGAGATGATTTTTGGCTTCTATCTCGATACTGTATAAATGAGTCAGAAAAATGTTGATGTAGGGAAAGTCAAAAAAAAGGGGAAAGAAAACAAACGAGTCACTTTTAGTTTTAGCCTGATCTCAATCTTTATGTTAGGATACATTAAACAAAGGCTATTATTGTGCAAAAGGTCACACAGCCCTGTGGTCAAATTTCCTTGGAAATATTTGTGGGTTTAACCCTTTGGATGCTGGTAGCACGTCACACAGAGATATTTATCTCACTTGCAAACAAACCATTCAATTCAGAGTGATGAACACTTTTTTATTTATTTGTTATGTTTTTGCGTGTTCTCTGTATGTTTAGACTCAGAGCAGCAGTGACATACCATGGCAGCATTTTCTAACTAATCCCAATTTAAAAATTTAGGCCAAAATGAAAATATAAAATCTGCAACCAAAATAGGTTTTCAGTTTGGCAATTTAATCTAAAATTTGAAATTCACTTTGAATTCTCTATGATTTAAATGGCCAGTTGTTAAAAGTTATCCATCAGGCGTTGGGGTCCCCTCCCCCATGGAGAAAGGTATCCTGAGATAGTTTTGTACCTTCCGCTCTGTATAACCCAGCAACGTAGTCTTTAAATGTTAGAATATTTGGAGCACGTTTATAAATGATTCATTATTTTTCTTGTGTCCGTGTTCCTAGGACATGCCGTGCCAGGATGGGGGGAACCTGTAATGTAAGAAGTGCAGTCTGTGCCCTGTTTAGGACCGGTAGAATCTTTGCTGTTAACCCTTTCACCACCAACATTGTGCAGATAAGTGATTTCAAAGGAATTCATTAAAATCCAACACATTTTACACAGAATTGGCACATTTGCAAATTAGTCGTGTTTATTACAAATTGTTTGAAAACCATGGCATTAGCAAAGTTTGCAGCTCACAGTGTGGTGGCAGATGGCATCGCGGTGATGTGTGTACAAGAGCGAGAGGAGTACTGTCAGTATCACCTCTAGGTGGCTGGTGGCTGCCTTACTCACAGAAACAGTGACATGAGGAAGATCGGTGACGCAGGATGTACGTCCAGGATCCAGACTTCTACTCCGAGAGCTGTGAGCAGCCTGGCTTTTCTGGGAAATTTGTCACAGTACAGAAACAATGTAGGCAACACCATGTCAATATGTGCTATGTGGAATAATGTAATTATATAGAAGGCAATAGACACTGTTTAGCTACAACATTAAAACCAGTGACAGGAGAAGTGAATAACATTGAATAGATCGTTACAGTGGTACCTGTCAAGGGGTGTGATATATTAGGCAACAAGTGAACAGTCAGGACCTGAATTCCATGTGTTGGGAGCAGGAAAAAAATGGGCAAGTGAAAAGATCTGAGTGACTTTGTCAAATACTGATGGCTAGACGACTGGGTCAGAGCATTTCCAAAATGGCATGTTTTGTGGGGTGTACACGGTATGCAGTGGTTAGTGGGTATCATTTACCTGGGGAAGAGATGGTCGCAGGATGCACTATGGGAAGAAGGCAGGCTGATGGAGGCAGAGTTATGCTCCGGGCAATGTGCTCCTGGGAAACCTTGGGACCTGACAATTATGTGAATCTTACTTTGACACATACCACCACCTGCCTAGAGATTGTTGCAGACCATGTATCCCTTTTAGTGAATAGACAAAATACTTTAGAGTAGAAGTGAATTAATCAATTTATAGCAAGTGGCGGCTGGTGCAAAATCCAGTTTCAAACTTATACAAAGTTTAAATTAGCGAATGTTTTCATTGTTTTATTGTACAATATTATAAACAATAACTTCAAGAAATGAGGATTGTCCTTCTTAATTTCAAAGTAAAGCTATTTGATATAGAACGTTACTTTCGGTGGAATTTTTGTAAATGTTATCTGATTATAAGGAAAGAGGAACTCCACACCAGACGTGTTCCACTGTAAATGCCCCCTAAGTTATCCGGAGGCTGTTTCTTAGGAAGAGTTTTTGTGTTCAGTGTCAGAAAGGCTGACCTCATCGCCAATAATCATTGCATACATTAACCTGATACTTTATACATACTGAATAAACAAGCAGAGGTTATACAGCTATTTGTGATTGGATAAACAGGAAGAACAGATTTATGGCAAACTGTAGCCCATGCTACACGGTCTGAGAGTACACATTACATCTATCCAATGTGTTGTGATGCTGCCCCTTTAAGCATGAATGGAACGGTCATGGGAGAAATGGCATCACTAGTAGGTAATTTGCTATATATATATATATATATATATATATATATATATATATATAAATAAAAATATTAAATGCACATTGGAATAAAGTTGCTTTGTGTGTTCTGAAAACTAAATGTATTCATTTATTTTCACTGCAGTATATATAGTGAGAAGAGAATTTATGGTCACGTACGATCGGAGTGACAAATAAAAATGGTCAAATGCCATGCTTATGGATATTTGTACACAATGTCATTTCTGCCAATGCAGTATTCTAAAAATACTACCAGAATGCAAAATTAATTCTATATGTCAGCTTTACACCTGCACACAGTAAGTGCAGTTATTTCAAGCACCTGTATTGGGAAGGACATATTAGTCTGCTGTTGCAGCCTGCAAAGAATCCCTACAGTATACTCGGTATGCCCCCCCCCCCCATCTCATCCCTGGAATACAGGTTAATATACATCTTTGTAGAGTGTTAGCGGACAATTTACAATCTCCCTGCAGAAATGCAGAAGTACAATTAGGAGCCCAGACAGTAAATTGTGTTTCTCCACAGGGTACAAACCAGCAAGTGATACTTTATGGACTAAACAAAAAAAATTATTTAGGTTAGTATGATCACACATGTTGCTGAGAGGGAAGGGGTTAATTGCTGCAGATACACGGGGCTAATAATATGCACTTTACTAATATCAGAATATTAACTTTATTTCTAAGTGCAACTTTATATAAATTGTTAGATTTTAGTGTAAGTGTGATGATCCAAGAAGTGGTTTAACTATAACTCTTAGAATCCTCTGCTGGCTTGTGGCCCACGGTGAAAACAGATAGTTTCACCTGTTATGAATACATTATGTAAGCATGTTGTACAGACCATATGAATACAGTGTTTCCAATTGTCCTATAGGCTTTTATGAAAAAGATTAAATAAGAATTCTGTCATTTGAAATAGTTTGTCATATTGCAGAGGCTTACCAGCTTTGTATTGTTTTAATTAAGTTACTGCTATTAGTTTCTACAAACACAAGCATGCACGGGGATTAAATGGGCTTCCTACCATGAATATTAACATTAGATTGTACAGTTGTTTTTATTATTATTATTGTATTTTAGAAACCATACTCAACAAATCGCTAATGGTTATCATCCAATCAAACCAAACCTGTAATAACCGCTAATGGTTATCATCCAATCAAACCAGACCTGTAACAACCGCTAATGGTTATCATCCAATCAAACCAGACCTGTAACAACTGCTAATGGTTATCATCCAATCAAACCAGACCTGTAACAACTGCTAATGGTTATCATCCAATCAAACCAGACCTGTAACAACTGCTAATGGTTATCATCCAATCAAACCAAACCTGTAGCAACCGCTAATGGTTATCATCCAATCAAACCAAACCTGTAACAACTGCTAATGGTTATCATCCAATCAAACCAAACCTGTAACAACTGCTAATGGTTATCATCCAATCAAACCAAACCTGTAACAGCCGCTAATGGTTATCATCCAATCAAACCACACCTGTAACAACCGCTAATGGTTATCATCCAATCAAACCACACCTGTAACAACTGCTAATGGTTATCATCCAATCAAACCTGTAACAACCGCTAATGGTTATCATCCAATCAAACCTGTAACAACCGCTAATGGTTATCATCCAATCAAACCAAACCTGTAACAACCGCTAATGGTTATCATCCAATCAAACCAAACCTGTAACAACCGCTAATGGTTATCATCCAATCAAACCAAACCTGTAACAACTGCTAATGGTTATCATCCAATCAAACCACACCTGTAACAACCGCTAATGGTTATCATCCAATCAAACCAGACCTGTAACAACTGCTAATGGTTATCATCCAATCAAACCAAACCTGTAACAACCGCTAATGGTTATCATCCAATCAAACCAAACCTGTAACAGCCGCTAATGGTTATCATCCAATAAAAGCGAACCTGTAACAACCGCTAATGGTCATCATCCAATCAAACCAAACCTGTAACAACTGCTCATGGTTATCATCCAATCAAACCAAACCTGTAACAGCCGCTTATGGTTATAATCCAATCAAACCAAACCTCTAACAACTGCTTATGGTATCGTCCAATCAAATCTGTAACAACCGCTAATGGTTATCATCCAATCAAACCAAACCTATAACAACTGCTAATGGTTATCATCCAATCAAACCTGTAACAACTGCTAATGGTATCGTCCTATCAAACCCGTAACAACTTCTAATGGTTATCATCCAATCACACCAAACCTGTAACAACCGCTAATGGTTATCATCCAATCAAACCTCTAACAACCGCTAATGGTTATCATCCAATCAAACCAAACCTGTAACAACTGCTAATGGTATCGTCCTATCAAACCTGTAACAACTTCTAATGGTTATCATCCAATCACACCAAACCTGTAACAACCGCTAATGGTTATCATCCAATCAAACCTTTAACAACTGCTAATGGTTATCAGCCAATCAAACCAAACCTGTAACAACTGCTAATGGTTATCATCCAATCAAACCAAACCTGTAACAACTGCTAATGGTATCGTCCTATCAAACCTGTAACAACCGCTAATGGTTATCATCCAATCAAACCAAACCTTTAAAAACCGCTAATGGTCATCATCCAATCAAACCAAACCTGTAACAACCGCTAATGGTCATCATCCAATCAAACCAAACCTGTAACAACCGCTAATGGTCATCATCCAATCAAACCAAACCTGTAACAACCGCTAATGGTTATCATCCAATCAAACCAAACCTGTAACAACTGCTAATGGTTATCATCCAATCAAACCAAACCTGTAACAACTGCTAATGGTTATAATCCAATCAAACCAAACCTTTAACAAATGCTAATGGTTATCGTCCAATCAAACCAAACCTGTAACAACCGCTAATGGTTATCATCCAATCACACCAAACCTGTAACAACCGCTAATGGTTATCATCCAGTCAAACCAAACCTTTAACAACCGCTAATGGTAATCATCCAATCAAACCAAACCTGTAACAACTGCTAATGGTCATCATCCAATCAAACCAAACCTGTAACAGCCGCTAATGGTCATCATCCAAGCAAACCAAACCTGTAACAACCGCTAATGGTTATCATCCAATCAAACCAAACCTGTAACAACCGCTAATGGTTATCATCCAATCAAACCAAACCTGTAACAACCGCTAATGGTTATCATCCAATCAAACCAAACCTGTAACAACTGCTAATGGTTATCATCCAATCAAACCAGACCTGTAACAACCGCTAATGGTTATCATCCAATCAAATCAAACCTGTAACAACCGCTAATGGTTATCATCCAATCAAACCAAACCTGTAACAACTGCTAATGGTCATCATCCAATCAAACCAAACCTGTAACAACTGCTAATGGTCATCTGTCCAATCAAAGCAAGCCTGTAACTAATGCCAATGGTTGCCTGTGACGTAAAATATATAACTGTGTAACACTGTATTGTTAGATATTTCAATTCTTCCTGAAAAAAGTAATCCCTTTTCAATAAATACAATTCTATATGATCAGTGCTTGAGAAAGATATCTCCATAAACCTTGAATTCTCAATATGCTCTAAAGATATAAGAAGATTCAGTTTTTTTGCACCAGCCGTCTTTATAAATGAGTAATGATATAAGGTGATTGATGTATTATTAATCGCAAACTTAGATTTTCTGTGGGAATAAATTTAAATTTAGGTATTAAAACATATCAAGTCGTGAAAATGACAGTAAACTGTAAATATTTATAAAACATCAGCATTCTATCAGTCCTTTGATATGGATTAGAAATAGTAACATTGTATATTATATTTCAGATCATATATAATCAACGTTGTGCACCTTTAGTGGATGTATTGCACTGTGGTCGTGTGAATGAGTCATTATAGGACGGTGTTAGTGTGATTCATTGTTTACATAGATCTGTTGCTAAATGACACACTTCTTGTACACGGACACCGCAAAGTAGAAAGCGAAAATTGACAGTAACGCAGAATTACTAGATTTATATTATAACCAGGATCGTGAGCAGTCAGATATAATCCAGTTATTCAGTCCCGGATATGTGATTTTAATCCTTCTCGTTTTTTTCCCACACATCCAAAAGCTTTAGATTTAGTGATGATTTAAGGCAAGAGATTGGAGAAAAATGTAAAGAACAGAATGTAGAGACAACAGCACTCTACAAAAATGTGAGCCTTAAACCCGTACAGGGAGAGATGCGTAAAATTCCAGGAGTCGTTCCGCTAGCTCACTGTGTGTTTTGCCAGATTTACAAAATGTAGGCCACATTCGCTGAGTGTTTAAGAGATTTTTAGATGTTTCACTATTAACTATATAAACTAGTGAGTATCATTTTAGAGATGCTATAATGGCAGTGCATTCATAAAAGCGAGATGTCACCGAGATGCAGTCACTAACCCCTAAAGGATGCTGGATGAGAGTGATGGGAGATAAAATGTGGAGTGCATATATACCCACTAGTCAATGTGAATAGTCCCCTAAATGTGAGCACCCTTATTATGTGTACAGTATACAGTACTCCTATATGCCCCCCTTAACCAAAATCTTTAAAGTGTCTGTCTGTCTGTCCTTGTGTAATTCTGTTAGTCTGTCTGTGTGTGTTGGACCAGCCGCTGGTGTGTGAAATGATCCTATAATTGGTTAATGCCAGCGAAGACCAGGAATTGAAGGCCAGACCCGGCCGGCTGGAATTGTGCTGTGAGAACAAAATGGGAAATGGCTCTAATGTACATCATTAGTGTCAAATCAGCTTTAATCAGAGGCTTCACACAAAGAACAGAGACTCCCTCCCTGCACACACAATGGGCACAGGTGACCCCACCATATAAAGACAGGGAAAAGGGGGCTGGTGGTTTATTTAAAAATGGTCCAGTACCCAAAATGAAAGGGATGAGAGAATGGAAGCACTGTATCTGTTAACATCGAGCTATACTGACATCACTTCAGCCAGTAATGAGGTGGGGGGGCAGTGTTAGGGTGGCAGTGTTAGGGTGACAGAAATGAGGTGGGGGCAGGGTTAGGGTGGCAGTAACGAGGTGGGGCAGAGTTAGGGTGGCAGTAACTAGGTGGGGGGGCAGAGTTAGGGTGGCAGTAATGAGGTGGGTGGGCAAGGTGTCAGTTACGAGGTGGGGGGCAGGGTTTGGGTGCCAGTAATGAGGTGGGGGGGCAGTAATGAGTTGGGGGGACAGGGCTAGGGTGGCAGTAATGAGGTGGGGAGGCAGTAATGAGGTGAGGGGCAGGGTTAGGGGTGGCAGTAACTAGGTGGGGGGACAGGGTTAGGGTGGCAGTAACGAGGTGGGGCAGAGTTAGGGTGGCAGTAACTAGGTGGGGGGGCAGAGTTAGGGTGGCAGTAACGAGGTGGGTGGGCAAGGTGGCAGTGACGAGGTGGGGGACAGGGTTAGGGTGGCGGTAACGAGGTGGGGGACAGGGTTAGGGTGGCAGTAACTAGGTGGGGACAGGGTTAGGGTGGCAGTAACTAGGTGGAGCAGAGTTAGGGTGGCAGAAAAACGGTGGGTGCGCAGGGTGGCAGTGACTAGGTGAGGGGGCAGGGTTAGGGTGGCAGTGACTAGGGGGGGGCATGGTTAGGGTGCCAGTAATGACGTGGGGGTACCAGGGTTAGGGTGCCAGTAATGAGGTGTGGGAGGCAGGTGGATGAAGAATCTATTGGTAATGACAGGTCATGCAAGGAAAGGAAATGTACCGGGTTATTAACTAAAGTGAGAATTCAAAGTCAATTTCAAGTTTAAGGCCAGAGTAGCCAAACTGAATGCATGGCTGACAGAGAATGTTTCCAGCTCGGCTATTTTAACCTTAACTATAAAATTTACTTTAATTTCTCACATTGGTAATTAACCCAGTTAGTAAATGTTATAAATGAGGCGCGGTAGTTTGATTTATATATAATGTTACCTGCAGTGATTGTATTAGAATTAGAGGGATTCCATCTTTGCACATTGTATATAATTTATATAATGTACTGTACAGCCTCCCTTATATCCTATTAACCCAGTGACAGACAGATTGCTGCCTCACATGAAGCTATGGATTAGAATTAGAGGGATTCCATCGCTGCACATTGCACGTTTAGAAAGAAGAAACCATTTACAACAAAATATCCTCCAGCCCTGCAAGGGTTAAATCAATTTAAATCTTGAATAAATAGAATCAACGTATTTGCATAATCATTTACATTTCTTTTGCTTGAAAATGGAAATATAATATCATGACTGCATTCTGGGACTGCCATCTCCACCTAGACCTTGAGCATCCTGCAACACAGAGACAGGCACTGCAACACAGAGACAGGCACTGCAACACAGGGTGCTCTAATACAGAGACAGACACTGCAACACAGAGACAGACACTGCAACACAGACACAGACACTGCAACACAGAGACAGACACTGCAACACAGGGTGCTCTAATACAGAGACAGACACTGCAACACAGAGACAGACACTGCAACACAGGGTGCTCTAATACAGAGACAGACACTGCAACACAGAGACAGACACTGCAACACAGGGTGCTCTAATACAGAGACAGACACTGCAACACAGAGACAGGCACTGCAACACAGAGACAGACACTGCAACACAGGGTGCTCTAATACAGAGAGAGACACTGCAACACAGAGATAGACACTGCAACACAGAGACAGACACTGCAACACAGGGTGCTCTAATACAGAGAGAGACACTGCAACACAGGGTGCTCTAATACAGAGAGAGACACTGCAACACAGGGTGCTCTAATACAGAGAGAGACACTGCAACACAGAGAGAGACACTGCAACACAGGGTGCTCTAATACAGAGACAGACACTGCAACACAGAGACAGACACTGCAACACAGGGTACTCTAATACAGAGACAGACCCTGCAATACAGAGACAGACACTGCAACACAGGGTGCTCTAATACAGAGACAGACACTGCAACACATGGTGCTTTAATACAGAGACAGACCCTGCAATACAGAGACAGACACTGCAACACAGAGACAGGCACTGCAACACAGGGTGCTCTAATACAGAGACAGACCCTGCAATACAGAGACAGACACTGCAACACATGGTGCTTTAATACAGAGACAGACCCTGCAATACAGAGACAGACACTGCAACACAGGGTGCTCTAATACAGAGACAGACCCTGCAATACAGAGACAGACACTGCAACACAGGGTGCTCTAATACAGAGACAGACACTGCAACACAGAGACAGGCACTGCAACACAGGGTGCTCTAATACAGAGACAGGCACTGCAACACAGAGAGATACACTGCAACACGGAGTGCTCTAATACAGAGACAGACACTGCAACACAGGGTGCTCTAAATACAGAGACAGTCACTGCAACACAAGGTGCTCTAATACAGAGAGACACTGCAATACAGAGACAGGCACTGCAACACAGGGTGCTCTAATACAGAGAGACACTGCAACACAGTGTGCTCTAATACAGAGACAGTCACTGCAACACAGAGACAGACACTGCAACACAGGGTGCTCTAATACAGAGACAGACACTGCTACACATGGTGCTTTAATACAGAGAAAGACCCTGCAATACATGGTTTCCTAATACAGAGACAGACACTGCAACACAGGGTGCTCTAATACAGAGACAGGCCCTGCAATACAGAGACAGACACTGCAACACAGGGTGCTTTAATACCGAGACAGACCCTGCAATATAGAGACAGACACTGCAATATAGGGTGCTCTAATACAGAGACAGACACTGCAACACAGGGTGCTTTAATACAGAGACAGATCCTGCAATACATGGTGTCCTAAAACAGAGACAGATCTGCAATACAGGGGTTCCTAATACAGAGACAGATCTGCAATACATGGTTTCCTAATACAGAGACAGATCCTGCAATATAGGGGTCCCTAATACAGAGACAGATCCTGCAGTTTAGGGGTTCCTAATACAGAGACAGATCCTGCAATACAGGGTGCTCTAATACAGAGACAGCTCCTGCAATACAATGGTTTCCTAATACAGAGACAGATCCTGCAATATAGGGGTTCCTAATACAGAGACAAATTCTGCAATACATGGTTTCCTAATACAGAGATAGATCTGCAATACAGGGGTTCCTAATACAGAGACAGATCCTGCAATACAGGGTGCTCTAATACAGAGACAGCTCCTGCAATACAATGGTTTCCTAATACAGAGACAGATCCTGCAATATAGGGGTTCCTAATACAGAGACAAATTATGCAATACATGGTTTCCTAATACAGAGACAAATTCTGCAATACATGGTTTCCTAATACAGAGACAGATCCTGCAATACAGGGGTTCCTAATACAGAGACAGATCCTGCAATACAGGGGTTCCTAATACAGAGACAGATCCTGCAATATAGGGGTTCCTAATACAGAGACAAATTCTGCAATACATGGTTTCCTAATACAGAGACAAATTCTGCAATACATGGTTTCCTAATACAGAGACAGATCCTGCAATACAGGGGTTCCTAATACAGAGACAGATCCTGCAATACATGGTTTCCTAATACAGAGACAGATCCTGCAATACAGGGGTTCCTAATACAGGGACAGATCCTGCAATACATGGTTTCCTAATACAGAGACAGATCCTGCAATACAGGGGTTCCTAGTACAGAGATACACCCTTCCTTGCAATAACTCCCTAAAACCGATACAGGGGGTTAAATCATTATTTCTATATTAAGATTTAAATGATTGCAGTAAATCCAGACATCAGGTAAGTGCCCCTCTGTAGATTTTACTTTACCTGCTCTGCCAACATTTCAACCTACCCCCCTCACCCCATGATAGAGAACGAATTATCGACTCATCCTAATTATTGCTCAATTTCCAAGTGACGCTAAAATACAGATTAACATCTTAGTCCTTTAAAAGCGTCATCATTACTGTAGCAATTAAATGGCTCAATAACGGGAGGGGAGGGGGCAGCATTAAGCATCTCAAACCAACTTTTTTACCAAATATTTCCTTTGTTTTAAAGGAAAGTAATATCATTTAATACTGTAATATATGGAATATAATATTCCCAAATCACTCTAGTGTAAAATACAGTGTTTGCCGTTAAATTAGCATTATCTGCTAACTGAAGCTACCAGCAGCTATTTTACCAATTTAAATTATAATCGAATTAAAGCGTGCATTGCATTTTATTTATTATTATCGTTAACTGATTGGGGAGAAATTAGTGGTACCGGGGATTATTCACTAAACAGCGATTTGTACTACATTACAAAAATAAAAAATTGCAAAATACAAATGAGGAAAAAAATGAAAATAAAGAAAAGCTAAACTGTGACTTTATCCGAAGGGGAGGGGGATGATTTTCCAGATCAGCACTTTTCCGTTTTCACGCTACTCTAATTCGCTATTTCGTGAATAAATCTCTGACTTTTTCACTTGTGCTATGGGATTGGGACACGCATCCTCTGTCATTTTCATTTTCTAAAAAGATAAAACGGACTCCTATCACAGTCAGCCAGGCAACCCTATAAAATGCCTTTCCCTCTGAGTGACATATCTGAGATTGTTACAATGTATCCGTGATTTGTAAACAAACACTGCGGTTCTGTATAAATAATAATCAATAGGTCGAACGTTCTAAATGTGGGCGGAGCTGCGGCAACATTCCACCGTTAGAACGTTGTCCCAGAATGACTCTGTATCCAGAATTCCATGAATCTGGTGCAGAAAGTGAGTCGGATTCTTTTATTAGACAGGTGTAGTTACTATGTATCAGGTTCTGTGTCTCCCATACATTCAATCCATGGTAGTGGGGACACTAACTGCTGACCTACCCTAGTGCTCTCTCCATAAGGGTTTCCAGTAATTCGGTCACCTTTCACCAGACAGGGAGGAAACAGTATGTGTATATACTGAAAGTTGTACATAAACTGTGTTAAACTCCCATAAACCGGTTAATACGGAGTGCTGCAGCTAACACCCCTCCCCCGACGCTGGTTTAAGGGAGACTTAGCTAGTTACACACAGAGTGAGTGCAGCCGGTCACACATAGAGTGAATACAGACACTGACACACAGAGTGAGTTTGAGAGGGAGATATAGCATATTATATAGAGAGATATAGCTTATTACAGAGAGGGAGACATAGCATATTATACAGAGAGATATCGTTTATTATAGAGAGATATGGCATATTATATAGAATTATATGGCATATTATATAGAGAGAAGTAGCATATTATATACAGAGAGGGAGATATAGCTTATTATATAGAGAGATATAGCATATTATATATATATATATAGATATGGCATATTATATGCAGAGAGGGAGATATAGCTTATTATATAGAGAGATATATAGTTTAAGATATAGAGAGAGAGATAGCATATGATATATGTAGAGAGATATAGCTTATATATAAAGAAATATATAGCTTATTATATATAGAGTGAGATAACTTATATAGAAAGGGAGATATAGCTTATTATATAGAGAGATATATAGCTTATTATATATAGAGGGAGCTATAGCTTATTATATATAGCGAGTTATAGCATATTATATGCAGAAAGGGTGATATATCTTATTATATAGAGCCATATGGCATATTATATACAGAGAGGGAAATATAGTTTATAGAGAGAGAGATATATATCTTATTATATAGAGCGATATGGCATATTATATACAGAGAGGGAAATATAGTTTATAGAGAGAGAGAGAGATATAAATCTTATTATATAGAGAGATATAGCATATAATATACAGAGAGGGAGGTATAGTTTATATAGAGAGATATTTAGCTTTTATATACAGAGATGGAAATATAGCATATTATACAGAGAAATTAAATTTAAATATATAGAGAAAGAGATATAAAATGATAATATACAGAGATATTGAGATATGAAGATATAATATATAGAGATATATAAAATATCAGTGAGATTAAAATCTAAAATATTGTATAGTGAGATTGAGATATAAAATAATTCTATCGAGAGATTGAGATATAAAATATTATATAGAGATATACAATATTGTATGGTGAGATTGAGATATAAAATGATTCCAACGAGAGATTGAGATATAAAATATTATATAGAGATATACAATATTGTATGGTGAGATTGAGATATAAAATAATTCTATCGCGAGATTAAGATATAAAAATACATAGTGAGATTGAGATATAAATAATATTTAAAAAAAAATGGAGATACTATAAAATTTAGAGAGTATTTGTAATATTCGTATCTTTCTGTGTCTCTGTCTGTCTCTATCTCTGTCTATCTGTGTCTGTCTCTCTCTGTGTATCTGTGTGTGTCTCTCTCTCTGTATCTCTGTCTGTCTCTTTCTGTGTATGTGTGTGTGTGTGTCTTTCTCTGTGTATTTGTGTGTGTGTGTGTGTCTGTCTCTCTCTGTGTATTTGTGTGTATCTCTCTTTCTGTGTATGTGTGTCTTTCTCTGTGTATCTCTCTCTGTGTGTCTGTCTCTCTCTCTCTGTGTCTGTCTCTCCGTGTATCGCTGTCTGTCTCTTTCTCTGTGTGTCTCTGTCTTTTTTTTCTGTATGTCTGTCTCTCTCTCTCTGTGTATCTGTGTGTGTCTGTCTCTCTCTCTCTCTGTGTATCTGTGTGTGTCTGTCTTTTTTTTCTGTGTGTGTGTGTATCTCTCTGTGTATCTGTGTGTGTGTCTTTTTTTTTCTGTGTGTGTGTGTATCTCTCTGTGTATCTGTGTGTGTCTTTTTTTTCTGTGTGTGTGTGTGTCTCTCTGTGTATCTGTGTGTGTGTCTTTTTTTTCTGTGTGTGTGTGTATCTCTCTGTGTATCTGTGTGTGTGTCTTTTTTTTTTCTGTGTGTGTGTGTATCTCTCTGTGTATCTGTGTCTGTCTTTTTTTGTGTGTGTGTGTGTGTGTGTGTGTGTGTGTGTATCTCTCTTTCTCCCATTTACCAGCCAGCTCCAGTAAAGGGGAGGAGTTTCCAATCTCCGGCCCAATCAAAGATTTTGACAGGTGAAAGTCCCCTCCCCCTATTACGTCACGCCGCGAGCTGTGGTTGAATATCACTGCAGAGCGCGAGACATTTCATAGAGCGACAGACAGCGGAGGAAGCAACATCTACTGTTACCGTATATCATATAAGATATCAACCACCTGCATAGCGCATCGTCTACTATTACCGTATATAATATAATATATCAACAACCTGCATTTATATAATATAACAACAGCCTGCATAGACAAGACAGCAGAGGGAACAACATCTACTGCAACAACCTGCATATATAGAACTGCCTGCATAGACAGACAGCGGAGAGAGGGAGACCTGCCTATACAGAGCAACCTGCTTATAGACAACTTACTGCATATAGGGAACTGTTAACTGCTCATATTTCCACCTGCCTGCCTATACAGAGAGCTGCCTGCCTATACAGAGAGCAGCCTGAATATACAGCAACAACCTGCATATAGCCACCTGCCTGCATATACAGAGAGCAGCCTGCATATATCCACCTACCTGCTTATACAGAGAGCAGCCTGAATATACAGCAACAACCTGCATATAGCTGCCTGCCTATACAGAGAGCAGCCTGCATATATCCATCTGCCTGCCTATACAGAGCAACCTGCCTATATCTACCTACCTGCTTATACAGAGAGCAGCCTGAATATATAGCAACAACCTGCATGCAGTCTGTGAGCATGCATCCTGCATAGTCAGAGCCTCACACTGAGCATGCATGCTGGGTAGCTGGATTACTACACTTACAGCTTCCTGAGCTGCACTCACACTCCGGGCAGATTTGGGGTGCACAAGGTCTTGCAGTGACCCCCAGACCAGCAGCTTCTGTGGGAGCATGGAGCTCCCTGCTGCAGGGGAACATGTCTTTGCAGTGGAGAGCATTGAGAAGAAGAGGATCCGCAAGGTAAGAGCTCCCAGACCCTGCTGTGGGTGGGGGATGGGATGTTGCACCCCAATCACATATTTTAACTGTACCTTCTGTTTGCAGGGTCGTGTGGAATACCTGGTGAAATGGAGAGGGTGGTCCTCTAGGTAAGTGTATCTTCAGTGCATGAGGGAGGGATCTGCCTGCTGGGTTTAATTGGTTTTAATATGTTAATATGCATGAATTATATGTATGTACTGTGCAGTGTAATATTTGAGAATATAGGATCTATCTCTCTTTTTATATATATATATATATATATAGTGTGTGTGTGAATCTGCCTGCTGGATTTAATAGGTTTTAATGTTAATATGCATTAATTATATGTATGTACTGTGCTGTGTAACATCTGAGAATATAGGATATACTTAAATATATAGTGTGTGTGATAGAGCTATATAGTGTGTGTATGATAGAGCTATATAGTGTGTGTGTGTGTATGTATATGATAGAGCTATTATATAGTGTGTGTGTTCTGGAAACGTGCACATATGCTGCATATACAGAGCTGATCCAGCTGCTGCCTGCCATTCAGTATTCCTGCTGGGAGGGCGACTCCACCAGCTGTGCCCTCAGATTCCAATGCTGTGCATAGGACACCCAGCCTCACTATCCTACTTGCATCATTTATCTGCAGCGGATCCTTCGGGGTTAGTTTGTGGCTGGCACTATCTAGGCCCTGAGTTGGGGGTTGGGTGCAGAAACTCTGCTTTAATTCTATCTCCATCTCTCTCGCTCTGTGCACCGCTCCCACCGCAGTGAGATCTGCATGCTTTAAATGCACTATGCAGTAATTCTAAGCTTCCGCAGCCACTGGATACATTCTTACCACTGTCGAGTTACATTGCAACCAACAACACCCAAGTCTTTTACTTTGAGATCTTGCCAAGCACATGTCTGCCTTCCCTCGTACTGTGCCAGCAGCCATTTCTCTGCAAGAACTAACACAGGCCCATCTAGTCACATCTCCAGCAAAGCCGAATAGTGGGCAAGGCTGCCAAAGAGGGTGTTATAAGGGGGTGGGTGACTTCTTGTTTTTGTGCAATTTTTGCAAAGTGAGAGAGCACTTCTAATAGTTGGACACACACTCACTCACTCACTCAGGAAGCCCATGCATTGTGCGATGTATCACTACTTATCAGTTTAAATAAAATGGATCCATATTCTGCCAACTGTCTCTGTTGAAGACTCTTTAACCCCTTAAGGACCAAACTTCTGGAATAAAAGGGAATCATGACATGTCATGTGTCCTTAAGGGGTTAACAGACAAAGGCCTCAATTAAATTCTTTTGGATAAACTTGTGACAAATTATGACAAAACGTTAGAAAAAACTTTTCAAATGATTTATCTACTGAAGTCGACATTCAAGTCTACTGGAAATGTTTGTAGCGAAATCATTTGAAAAAACTTTAAATCATTAAATCAAGGCCAACGTTTGTAATGCACGGTTCCATTTACTTTCATTAGAGGCCACAAATTCCATTTTAGTAAGTATTGTCCTTCTCACCAAATTCCCTCCTGTCAATTCCACCATTGTTTCTTAATTACTCATCAGTGACCATGAATAGTAGTGAGAGGAAACCCTTGTGGAGCACTGTGAATAGTTCTGAGATGGAACCCTGGTGGGACTGTGACTGGCGAGAGGAACACCTTAATATATCAATTAATGAGTTGATTTTGTACTCTGAAAATAAGCGCCCACCCTTGTGCTAATGCCGCAGAGGTTTTCTTTGGAAAATGGGTCAGAATTTAGAGCACAAGCAAGTGAGTGAATCTGCAATGGTAGTAGCACGTGGTGTGCTAAATATAACCTACTGTCAATGGTAAACTAATCTGGGGCATTAGAATCACAGAATACAGGCACAGAATCTGAACAGCAGGTCATGAGGTGTGTGTGTGTGTGTGAGAGTTTCCTGTAAAGCTCGTTGGATGGATTAACATAGCATCTAGTCAATAAATTACTGTAACGACTTTGTAACTGGTGTAGTGCAAGGATCACTTATTTCCAGTTTTGAACTTTTAGGTACAACACATGGGAGCCAGAGGAGAATATTCTGGACCCCCGTCTCCTGGTTGCCTTTCAGAACAGGTAAGCGGTGGAACTCGATGGGCAAACCTAGACCCCACCTCATCCCAAGTAGTCTAGCTGTGCTAAACCTGGGGAAAATTAGTCTTCTGAGGGATTTTGGCCTAAAGATTTCCCTGTCTTTTTGAACATTTTGCTATATCTATCAGTCTGGAGATGACTGTGTGGATTTTCTAGAACGTCTTTTAATATATTGACCACTATGAAGGTAGTCGTGTAATGTCCCCCCATGAATAACATCCACCCTTTGCAGGTTATAATTTAAATCTTGTGATGGCTTCTGTTTTCTTTTCCTTCTCCATTCTCGTAAACCACGACTAGCTATTTTTGACATTTGGTAAATAGCCTTTAGAAAGGCTTTCCAAGCCTCAGATTTTATGAACACCGCCCTTTGCATCTTAATGAAGCCATTAGCATGTATTCTGCATCTGTGCCCTTTAGCATCCAACAGATTGCGCCTGTCTTTTGACATTTCACACGAGGCGGAAGACCTGTGCCAGCGTGGTCCAAATGAAGACCTCACTGTAACCTCTTTCCTGCTCCCATATTGTGGAAACACTTTTTTTTTTTCTGCTGGTCTCCAAAGTCTGGTTCAAGCTCTTGACTGTCTTTGTTCCCCATATATGCAAAATGTGTAATAGTTTCTTTCCTAAACGTTTGCTACCAAATTTAAAAACCCGAGCAGACCCAAATGCCCAATGTGATGCTCACAAGTACACGGCCATGTTAAGTCAGGTATCTAACTCATTGGTGATTGCTGGTGGCAATCTCTACTGAGTTAAGATGCAATTTGTTGGGTTGTAGACCCAACCCTGAACTCTGCAGGTGTTCTGCAACAGAGTTAATCTTCAGTAGCAGGACATCATTGTGTTTATTTAATTATTATTATAAATCTTCATGTTAGATTTGGGCCAGGTAATTAGCACCTTGGATTTAAATAAACTTTGCTGTATTCATTTATCTTCCTCAGAGAAAGACAAGAGCAGATCATGGGCTACAGGAAACGTGGACCCAAGCCGAAACACCACCTTGCGGTAAGTTTTGGGTTTAGGTTTCCAATATTTCTAAACCACATGCCAAGAAGTCAGGTAAATACCATTGTCCTCACAGAGTTAATACGCATTTTGATAGTAGATCCTTAGAGCCTTAGTGACTGTAAAAAAATTTTAAAAAATGGAGATTATGAATTTTTAAGTAGTTAAAAAAAGTAAAAAATAAATTTTATTATTATTTTATTTTTTTATTTTTAACCATTTTTTGGTTCTTTCCAAAATGGAATACACATTTTGGGGTTCAGTTAAACTCTCTAGCATACCTGGTTTTTCTTGTTATATATATTTTTGCATTTTCATTGCTGTCAGTCTCACGTTTTGTCCTGCTGTTGTTGCACACTAGGGAAATACCCTGCTGTGCGCGAAAAGTAAATATTTTCTTGAAAGGCTGCTGTGAGCAGAATAATCCATGCAAATACACATGCCCTGTCACTCTGGGCCATCTCTGTTCTCTCTTTTCCTGATAGGCTGGTTGGTTCTGTAGGTAGAATACTCTAGGGTAATATGTCATGCGTGGCTGTTGGTTCACTCTTCTTTGTAGTTTTTCTTTGACACTGACTGCACAAGTCCGATGAGAATCATTTCCTTTAGCCTTATGTCTGGTAGAGTTGTGTGTTGATTCCACCTAAAATCTTTTTAAATTTTTTTTTTTTTGTTCTCTATACAGTTACCATCATTTGCTCGTCGATCAAATATCTTGAGTGATCTCCAGGATTCTTTGGTGGAGAACCGAACCAAAATCGACTTGGGGTCTATAACAAAGAGTCAACCTCACCAGTACCAACTGAATAGCAAGAAACATCACCAGTACCAGCCTAATGGGAAAGACCACTCAGAGAAGCACCACTCGAGTAGCAAACGGAAGTACTACTATCAGCTTAACAGCAAGAAGCATCATCATTATCAGCCAGATCCTAAGAAACATGACCAGTATACATCTTCTAAAGACTCTCAGATGTGCTTGGATCGCAGTTATTGGCACAAGGACTCTTGGACACACAGCCCGTCTATGGAATTAGGGGCTCAAGTCAAAAATGGCACAAGTCCTGCAGTAAATGGTGTGGACAAAACCAACTTGTCAAATGGATCTTCCACCAGCTCATCTAAGGAAGTGTCTGGAAATGGGATTGGGGGCAAAATGAAAATTGTCAAAAACAAAAATAAGAACGGGAGGATTGTTATAGTTATGAGTAAATATATGGAGAATGGGATGCAGTCAGTGAAAATAAAGTCTTCCGAAGAGGAATGTGAAACTATTGAACCCGCCAGAAGGGTAGAGACCCCATGTGTGTCTAATGGCGATAGGACTCCCAAACCTGCAAATGAAAAAGCAGAACACTGGAAAAAAAGAGTGGAATCCAGAATTCGGATAAATGAAGTCAAAACATCTAGTGACAGGGCACCCGTTCAGCTGACTGGCTTACAGAGGACTTACTCTACAACTGACGCAACTTCTGATCAGCCACTGCAGCTCACCACCAAGAAGGATATTAGTTCGTGGTCGAGTGCAACTAGTCCACCACCATACAGGAGGGAGCCTACTAAAGACGTGACTTATTTTAATCCTAGGAAAAGGTGCCTCACTGAGGCTGATAGGGACAGAGACCCTTATAAGAAATCCCTAACTTCTAGGACTGTGAGTGCCCCTGGTAGACTTGAGGAGCAGGCCACCCAAGGTTCTCTCAGTGTGTCGACTCAAGAACCTGAGATCATTCTGTTGGACTCAGATCTGGATGAACCCATTGACTTGCGTTGTGTGAAATCCAGGTGTGACAGTGACCAGGAACTAGACAAACCCACAGCCAATGCGCCTAAGGCATCATCCCAACCCATTGATGTTGAGGTTACGAGGGAGGAGCCTCTGGCTGAGTTCAGACCTTTCTTTGGAAATATTGTGATTACAGATGTCACTGCTAACTGTCTCACTGTGACTTTCAAGGAGTACATAACCGTGTGAGTGTCTTCTGGATAATGACATAGTATCTTAAGTGTGTACAAGCATGTTCCATAGGACTTTCTGGCCACGTTGCATATTGAGTGATGAATACAATCAATGTGTGTTTGCGTTTTGTTCATCTGTTACCACCAGTTTGGGTTTTGTTCTCCGTCTTTGGATGGCGTAGAAGTACACACAGTTGTATTCAGTGAAATCATGGCAATGAAGCACTTAACTGAATGCTGACACTCTGCATCCGCTGCAGAGTATCACGATGTGTTGTCTAGAATATTTTATTAATACATTGAAATATAACCTACTCCTGCAGTATAGAGTCCAATTGGATGTTAAACAAGAAAACTCCCACCCCCAAAAAATATTTTCATATGGAAATAGACATTTCCCCTTTGCTGACTACGAACATGCCACAATGTGTATATTTTTGTTAGTTTTTTTTGTCTGTGTGTGTGTGTGTGTGTGTATATAATATAAAAAAAAAAAGTTTATGTAAAACAGATCTTTCTAGTAAATGCTGCTATTAGAATTGTTAAATGCTTCCTGTAGCTGCTTGTGTAAATATTACTTGAAAGTTTTTTTTGTTTTTTAAAGTTAAAGTCTTGAGGCAGCCCTGGTTTCATTTTGGGGTCTGTTACCCCCTTATTTCAGGTGCTAAATATAATATTGTATCATATAAAGAACTCCTCCAATTTGAACTCTGTGTGTAAATGGTGTTTCTAACAATATTTTATCAAGACGTGGGGGGGTGGGTGTGGGACGACGACTTAATTCGAGAGTACGTCTGTTGAATTTCAGAACTAATGGTTCATTATAGACTCTGGCATGGCCTAACTAATGCATTTTAGACCCACTCAAAATTTTGAATTTCCCAAACTTTAACCCATTGAATTCTTCCTTGTTCAGCACATCAGTAGAAAGTAATATAAAAGTGGGGGTGTATGTGATTTCCTAAGGATTTGCAGGATTCTCGGTCATTGCTTATTGTAGAATACAGAGTAAATATTTGTGTTGTGCACCTGCAGCCGCCTGTCTCTGTAGCCCAGCTTGGCGCATGCTGTCGTACACAATCTACTTGTGACTTGGTAGATCTTAAAGAACCACCCGGAAACCACAACTCATCACAAGCAGTTTAACCCTGAAATAGCACTGGAAGAGGGAGGGAGTTTCCTGTCTCTCCAGTTCCTATAAACCCAGCTGTAGATGCTGAGTAACATCTTCAATACCCGATTAGACAGTTTTAATTTATAGTAAGTGTGGCTAGAGATGTCTCTCCCTGCCCTTCACACTGCGCTCTCATTCACCAGGAGTCTTACCTGGTTTTACATTTATGCTGCGTTCATTACTCCAGGGCCTGGTGACAGCAGTGATTTTCTCACTAAAAGTGCCTGACCTGTTTATTTACAGTGGATATGGAGAAGTGAGCATTTTAGAGCTTGTATGTGCCAATGCTTTATGACATGTAAAGAGAAGGAATGGACTGTTGATATAAACAGTTAGGCAGCAAAGCTTGCAGTCTGTTTTGGATGTCCCAGTCCGTGTCACATATTATCTGAGAGGTTCAGATAGGACCCCATTTAGCAGTAAAATAGGTAACCGCACCCTATAACGAGCTGATTTCATCTTATCATTACACAGTAACTACAAACAAATATACACATATTATACAGATTAAAGGGTTACACCGAACACCATGACCACTTCAGTGATTTGAAGTCTGAAATTCTGCACATGCGCAGTTTAATCCTTTTGATGCCGGAGGTTTAACACCAGCCCAGGCTGGCTACTGTTAAGTCTACGTATATTGCTTTGCACAGAACTGCATTCATTGAGAGATGTTTGCTGACGCTCTGACACAGAATGGCCGGCAGGATAGTTACGCCTTCTGTTGGCGCCTGGCAGTCCGACAGTGGGCGCCTAGCAGGGATTCAGGTAAGAGAGCAAACCTATGCAAAATGATTTGATCCATTACTGTAAAACAGAGCCAGTGGTTCTTTTCTCCCTAGAACTCAAAGATTATAAATCCAGTATGTCCTACATTGCAGAACCCCCCCCCCCCCCCCCCCCCTTGCTGCAGGTATAACTTGCTATGCTAGCTTTGTGATGCTTCTTGAGGTACACGCGTAGGGTGGGCTATGGTAATACCCTGAAATGTAAAGCGTATTCTGTAAACATCAAATAGGAAGAAATTAAAACATGAATTCTAAAATTTTGGGTAACAAATCCGTTTCAATCTCTGCTTGCCTATTTCTTTGATATATTTTAGAATTTGTCTTTCAATTGAGTCCACTTTTTAATGATCAGTAACTAGGCCCACATGGATTTTGATGGGGTGACCTTAACAGAGTTAAAGAAAACGCTCCCATCACCGCAGCTCACTGTTTAGACTCCTAGTGCGAACTCCCTGCTCTGACACCAGCAATCTTGGCCAGTCTTGGTGACATGAAGAAAATTCTCTGGTGATTTTGTCACGTTCTGTGACAGTTTGACGAGTCAGGAAGGATCTGTTCTACGTACATTGAAGAGTACTCCTGGGACATGGTTGTCAATTTAGGTACACCTGCTATGCCAGGTTCCCTTAGTGATATCTCGGTAAATCTTAGCATTTCCTACGTTCAGTTGGTGGTACAGATATACCGGTTTGTGTTTTATCAATACTGAGTCTCAGGAATCCCAGGCACCTGCCAATTCCTTACATTATTCCCTGGAAAACCCAATTGTAAAGAATCTACCCCCAACAACCATTACTGAACGGTAACAGATGACATTATTACATAATGGAACGTTAAATATTAATATCATTATTTTGAATTTGTGTGTGCGTGTAACTTGCTGTCTTTCTATTCCGGAATCCTCTTTTATAAATTAAAATAAAATTTTAAAAGAACAATGAAAATACTACAAAACCCTTCAATCGCTTGTCTGTAGTCCGGAACCAGAATTGTCCCCTTTACAGCAGCCGCTCCGGTTTCTGTGAGATCATCGGGACTGACAATCCCTTTCTAAACTAAAGCGTCTTGCAGAGTGCATGCGCAACAGTCTCCGCGGGATTTAGGACAAGAAAACCATGGAACATTAAAGGTCTTATGAGAAAGCACCTCTACTTTGGCAAAAACTGTGTTTCTCCAAAAGTAAATGGACACCACCTATACACCAAAACCACTACATTAAGATGACACAGTTTTAGTCCTTAGTGTCCCTTTAATTCCAGTTTAGTCAATAATTTGCTCTCCGGCAGTTGTAGTACTATACGTCCCATTGATGTTTTGTCAGCCTGTAGATTTATAAAGCCTCATGAGAGGTGTTCTTCTACAACAGCTGTTGTCTAGTTACGCCTTTGGTGATGTCACAAGGGCATTCGCTTTTCTTGCTGAGGTCATTGAAGCCATCAAACAGGTCCAGCTGTATTTATTATAAACTCATCACTGAAATATTCCGATGTTTTATGAATAAACAATGACCTAAGGTTACGACTTGGGAGTGATCTCTAATTTTGGGAAGGGGGGGGGGGCGGTTGGGTGCGGTCAACAACAACCAGAGCAACTCCAGCAAGACAAACAAGGATTGTTTGAAGGGTGCAGTGATGGGGTGGGAGGAGGTAATGATAAAGGGGATTAAACTGAGCTACGAATAAAAGATCCTGCAATAATTTTACGTCAGAGGAAATTAAATATATTACAGGGAAGAATGCATTAAATGGATTCTCGGCCTCTCTGTGTATAAATATATATATATAGAGAGAGAGAGAGAGAGAGAGAGAGAGAGAGAGAGAGAGAGATGAGTAATAAAGATTATGACAGCCATACGATATTTAAATGGTATAACCCCGCTTCCCCCCTATTTAACTGGTTAGTAATATGGGGAAGCCTTACGTGTAAAGGGGAATATTTACTAAACTGTAAATTATCGCAAATTAAGTTTACACCAAGACAGAGCTAGGTATTTTGCAGTGAAGCTATTTAACTTGCTTGGCTATTTTGGCACTTATTTATATATTTCTTGTCAAGTAAATTAAAGTCTATTGCTTAGCAATTAAATCTATTTATATTATTGCTCTCATTTAAAAATGGAACAGAATCCGCAGCATTGAGTGATGGGTCAGGGGATTTCTCTTCTGGCATTCGAAAGGTTAAAATCAGGGCTAGTATGGTATGCTCATTTTTATTAGGATCTGAAGGGTGTGGTGTGTTTTTGGTATCTGGTTCACTTTACACATTTCACATACAAGACTGAATGTTGGATTCCATCATTTGGAATCTCACAGATTGAAATTATTTTAGTTTGTTTAACCCTGTCCTGTCCTGGGGGAGGGGAACCCAGTTCACAATAAGGTTAGGGGTTTCACTGATGGCTGGAGGTAATGGGGTTAATCAAGGCCCTGCCATTAAAGGTGTGCTCCTAGTAGCTGGTTGGATTAATCTGCCAGTGTCTGCTGTGTGTGTCAGTACATGGCCAGCACTAGGACCCTGTGAGGCTGCATCTCTCTCACACTGGCCCTTGTGTTTGTGTGTAAAGTCTCTGACGTCACTAGCCCTGCTCTCTGCGCACATCAATGCTGACGTCACTGCTCTAGCCTATTTATCTGGTAATCTGCAATTTTCCGATTATTCACTAATTAAATGGAACACAGAGGCTGACTGCAGGAGCTTCTAACTGCAGACATTAATATAAAACCAGCATGTTCTGAAAGAGACACTAAATTCATCAAATACTATCCCCAAATAGTGATGATCACATACAGGTATTACCAGTGTTATCACCATACGGATGAAGAATAAATTATATTATAGGTAAATACAGAAATACACACACACACACACACACACACATATATATATATATATATTGAGTTCTGTGTAATTAGTTTTTTTCTCTCTATTCCCGATTCCAGGTCTCCCATCTCAAGCCATTCAGTGGCTGCCTGAGGATAGTGTGACTTGCACTCAGTAGCAGCTGTGACACCATGTGCTGTGTCCAACAGACTGTGAACAGAGCTGGATTGAAAGATGGATTAGTCCAATATAGCCAATCTGCACAGCTGGGTGATTTGGGGAGTTTATCCCAATCAGACCCTTTATCAGACTAATTATAATCTATTTGTGATTCCCCAGCACTCCCTGTTTAGTAGATAGACCCTAGTGGTTCCTTGCTCTCTGGCTGGCTTGCAGGCTCAGCCCTGGGATTGGTGTAATATATCACAGAACCAGTTTATCTGGAGCAGTGGGTGCTGTGTGCTCAGGGCTGGGTCAGGTCCAAATCTTCAAACAAACAGATTTCTAATGGTAATTTTTCTAGTAATTGTCATTTAACGTGTCTCATAACACAGCGCAGACAGGAATGCAGTAATAGCCCCAAAATGATGACACACTTATTAGGTCTAAAAAAAACAATACCATATATAGCAAGGTTTCAGGGTGACTGAGTATGGACAGGGATCTCACTAGCCGGTATTTAACGCAGAATTTACCATTAGCATTGGATACAGTGCACACATTAGGATTTCTGTTGAGCTTGTAATATAGGAGAGATGTGGGGGTAGTGCTTTAAATAAAATCCCCATTCAGAGAGGCATGGTGTAAGCTATATATAGACTTACAGAGAGGGACACATCTTGGAGATAAGGCTTCCTAGAATACTAATTATAGCCCATGCCCCATTTTACTTAAAGCATAATAATATCATTATAAAATATTTAAATTATACATATTTAAATGCACAACAAAATATGATTTAAATAGAGATAAATCGGTACGAAATGTTTATTAAAAAAATAAATAAAATGTAAAAAACAAGAAAAATGTCTCTATTTGTGTCTGTGACTATATAAAACGGATACAGTTATACACTGTGTACAGCAATGTACTCAATATGCACATATACCATACGTTGCACACTCAGTATACATGTAGCTTTTTAGATACTTTGTACATAAAGAGAGAGTGACAGTTATACACTATTATAAGAGTACATGTAACTATGTATACAATCCACTCCTCCAAATATACCTGTAACGATGTACTAAGCCTCCTGTGAGCATAGAGGGCGGATTTATCGCCATATTTATAAATACTCAGTCAGTATATATAGTATACAATGTACAGTAATTGTGTATATCGTGTGTGGGGAGATATTTAAGACAGTCTTTATGTTCCTATGTATAGATTCTCCCAAGCTGCAGTCTTTATTTCCTTATATGGTAATATCTAGCACTGGATCAGCCCTTCTCCCCCCCTCCCTCCCTGCACCCCCATTTAGACTGCATCCCTCCATTTAGATACAATGTCAGTGCTCTGGGTTTATTCATTTTATGATTTTTGTGTTTATTATTATTATTTTTGTTTATTTAAAGAGGGAAACGGTTTATTTGTTTATTATATTGTTTCTTTTAGAATAAAACATCGTGTTCAGTGCTTACATTCTTGCAGATGCCCTTGCCCCCCTGGCTGCCCAGTCCTGTGGCATTCTGTGCCAGTTTGGAGTGGCTGTGCCCAAGGGTTTCCGGATTCTTTGTCTCCTGCCTGGATAGGAGCCAGATCCAATATGGAGGAGGGGAGAAAGCTGTCTATTCAGTGCACATAGACCAGACTGGAATAAACCTGCTATTCCTATCATTGGTGTCTAATGGGGGCTCCCCAACACCCCCTGCTCAGACCGCCAGGACCCCCTCTTTAGCCCCCCTTGATTTTTGAGACACAGGGGCTGAAGGATTAATCCTTATGTTCTGTTTTGTTTTTTTTAAAGAAATGGCTGCTTATTTCTCAGTCTGTATGTAATTCCAAGAGACAAGCACTCCCTTTACTTCTTTAGACACCCCTAAAATAGCCGTAACTGGGGCTGACTATGGGGGTGGGGGCTAGATACAGAGCTGTAATCAGGCAGTATCTAAAATACAGAATTTAACCCCCCCTCCTGCATTCCACATTACCCCCCACCCCCACCCCCCCACACACACACACAACCCAGACACCTCTAAATATAAAATGAGTGTGTTTTACCCCTTTAACCCCTAAAATTAATATAACTGCCCCCACAGCTTACGTGGCCAGAGATCATATTATAGTTTATTTATATATATTTTTTTTTATTAAAGCATATATATAAACAGGATTAAACTATATCCGACAAATGGGATAATTTCATATAAAATCAGTAAAAATAAAATATACAAACTTGAAAAACACTCCATCACACCCTAAAAAACTGCATTAACCCCTTGTATTCCAAGTCCTTAACTGGAGGTCCCTGAAAGGATTGGATGAAAATGTTAACATGAGGATGTTGGGGGGGCGCAGGATTTGGGTAGAAAATAGCAGACATTCGGGTTAAGATGAAAACGCAGCCCAGGTTCAACAAATTCTTCGATTTAAGGGGTCTATTTACTAAACTGCGGGTTTCCACGAATTGATAACCGATTTGTACAATTTAAAGGGTAACATGCCTGAGATGGAAATTATGTTAACACAGCACAAAAAAAAAAGTAAATTGATTGATTCTTACAGAAACTACAACTAGATTTAGCAACGCGGCTCTCAGTGCGCTAAACATCGCTGTTTAGTGAATCCTGCGTTAAATAAACAATTTCTATGAAATGATAACGTAGAAGTATTGCAAATCCAGCACTGACACAGCCCTTCCTGTATTTATTAGTATTTAGTCTGAGAGATTTTATTAGTACAGTCCCAACCCCTGATTAAATATAGGATAGAGGCGGTAAAACAGGGGGGATACATGTGAGATTTAGATATTACATCCTCTGTATTATATATAATACAATCTATAATGCGTGTACTGTGTTCAGTATATATTGTAATCGTTATGTTTTATATAGGTGTATATCCTGCACTCTGTATATGCTAAAATGTATTTATTAAATCATGTGTACGTTCTAAACTCTAAACAAATACTGGGGATATCTCTATAATATAATGGATACAGTAACTATAATATACACAGATACTGGGTATCACTCTGTAATATAATGGATACAGTAACTATAATATACACAGATACTGGGTATCACTCTGTAATATAATGGATACAGTAACTATAATATACACAGATACTGGGGATCACTCTGTAATATAATGGATACAGTAACTATAATATACACAGATACTGGGTATCACTCTGTAATATAATGGATACAGTAACTATAATATACACAGATACAGGGTATGACTCTGTAATATAATGGATACAGTAACTATAATATACCCAGATACTGGGTATGACTCTGTAATATAATGGATACAGTAACTATAATATACCCAGATACTGGGTATGACTCTGTAATGTAATGGATACAGTAACTATAATATACCCAGATATTGGGTATGACTCTATAATGTAATGGATACAGTAACTATAATATACACAGATACTGGGGATCACTCTATAATGTAATGGATACAGTAACTATAATATACCCAGATACTGGGGATCACTCTGTAATATAATGGATACAGTAACTATAATATACACAGATACTGGGTATCAC